TTTAGTAATTTTGCTTCACCAGTAAGATGTAATTAGAAATGAAATGAAATAATTTTTTTGAATTCCCAGTGCAGACTGCCATTCACAGACAAAGACACACGAGCTGAAGAATTGTTAGAAGTTATACACGTAGATGTATGTGGTCCCATGGAATCCAAATCAATTGGTGGGGCAAAGTATTTCTTAACTTTCCAGGATGATTGCAGCAGAATGGTATTTGTCTATTTTTTAAAGGTCAAAGATGACGTTTTAAGTTGTTTCAAAAACTAAAAATTTAGTCAAAAACCAAAAGAAAAAGAAAATTAAATTTGAATGTTTCCTGAAAGCTAATTGAATCCTGCATCAGAAGATCCAGAACAGCATGTCAGAAAGACTAAATCATATCATTGTTGAGAATGCAAAGTGCCTGCATTTTGAAAAAATTCTAAGCTGAAGCAGTAAACACCACAGTTTATCTGAAGAATAGGTCGATTGCTTCAGAATTGCAAACAGTAGCAATTTAAGGATCTTTGACAGCCCAGTAATGGCACATATCCTGAAACAAAAAATATTGAAGTGGGACAAAAATGCTGAGAAACACCTTCACCTACGCAGAGATGTAATTATAACTCGTAAGAAAGAACAACTGAAAACGAGAATGATTAAAATGTAGAGGTTCCAGTTTCAGTCGGAGTCAGAGATGGCTATAACGCAGGGAACGATGACTGATGAAAATTTTAGTGACGAATACAGCGAAATGGGAACGTTTCGAGGAACGGATGAGAGTGATGATAGGGACTACACTCCGAAACATCTAGAACAGTTCACTGTAACACTTAAACAGTCAGAAAGAACACCAAAACCAAGTAGGCCAATCAATAGAGCATTAAATTAGTGACTTTGTGACAAAAATCCAGTAACAAACGGACTGTGCCATCATATAAAAGACAGTCTGTAGATATGTTTATATGTTTCCTATTCTAATTCACAATTAATTAATTTTTTATAAAGGTTTTTATGCAAAAAATGCATTTTTTAAGTTTTTTGTTTATAAAACCTAAACCAACGAAGCAATTTGAATGCTATAAGAACACAATTTATAGAGAATCGCAATACAAATAAAACGAGAGGTCGATCGATCCGATCAGATAATTAAAAATGAAGAAAACCTGGTTTTTTGAAAAATTCATTACTCTGCCATTTTTTAAGTTGTAGAGCTGACCCTGTGCAGAAAAGTAATGAATTATATGTATTTTAAGTACAAAGCAGGCGCTGTCGAACCATTAGTTTTGGCTCAATTGCAATTTGAATTTTTTGGTGCACTATTTTGCAAATTTCTGGACACGTTGTAGGTGGTCGGATTTTAATTTTTCAGCCGGATTATAAAGGTAGAAGAATAATACTACAAAACATATATTCTAATTTTCCAATAAAATGATGCCAAATTAATAAAAAATTCCTTCAACCAAGCTCAAAAACGGCCGAGTGCACGTACGCGGCCGAGTAGTGGGGGAAGATCGGGAGATGAGGAGTATAGTTTAATATTATTGTAAGTGGTGATAAATAATACCAGTGTCATGGAGTGTACAAGTGTACAAACGACTCCGCCTGCTTTGTGCGCAATTAAAGTATATATATATATATCTTTTGTGCACAGGGTGAGCTCTACAACTAAAAAAATGGCGGAGTAATGAATTTAAAAAAACACGCTAAATTTTCCGATTTTTCCAGGTTTTCTTCGTTTCTAATTATCCTATTGGATTGATTGACGCCTCGTTTTACTGGTATTTTGATTTTCTACAAATTGTCTCTATACAGCATTCAAATTGCTTTGTTAGTTTAGGTTTTATAAGCAAAAAACTAAAAAAAATGCGTTTTTTGCATAAAAATGTTTATAAAAAATGAATTAATGGTAAATTGGAGTATGCAACATATAAGCATATAAACACACTGTTTTTTATATGATGGCACAGTCCGTTTGCTACTAGAATTTTTGTCACAAACAAAACCTCTATTGATTGGCCTAAAAGAAATTTGAAAATGACGTGATGTGCATTTGCTCCGACAGTCCCCATTTAGACAGCGACCTAGCGACGGTGCAGGATACTTTATCAGGACCAAACAAGGAGAAGTGGAGACAGGCAGTTTAGGATGAATTTCTTTCCTTTTAAGAAAATGATGTTTGGGAACTAGTTGATATTCCTAGTGGTAAAACTATAGTACAGTGCAAGTGGGTGTTTAAGCGAAAAGATGACGGTGATGATGAACATGCTAGACTTGTAGAAAAAGATTCACACAAAAAGAAAGTAAAGAAAGTATTGATTTTCATGAGACCTTTTCACCTGTAGTTAGATTTTCAACTTTGAGACTGTTGATGTCCTTATCTGCTAAGCTAGGGTTAGAAATTTCACATTTAGACGATAAAACAACTTTTTTAAATGGAATTTAAAGGAAGATGTATACGTGTGATTACCTGGAAGTTTCAATTGCACTGACAATATAGTTAAAAAGAGCCATTTATGGCCTGAAGCAAGCCAGTAGAGCTTGATTGGTAGTTTAAGGAGGTTCGATACATCTCTTGCGGGGTGTAGGTGGTGTGGGAAGGAAGCCTATATTTATACACGGTAGTTTCGTTGTACAGTAGAACCTCAATAATCCGAACCGCTGTAATCCTAACGCTCGATAATCCGAACGCCGATGCGTTCAGTGCTCTTGAAACGGCAATGAACTGGTACGAAAAACAACCTGAATGCTGTTTACCTCAGTTGATCACGCTAAAGAAAATCCGTGATTTAGCAGCCAAAAAACGTTCCTCAACCTTAGTTCAGCAAAAAATGAGTGACTATTTTTCGAATGTTCTTTGTTGAGTTTTTTGTTTTCTTTAATTTTTTTATCTTTCTGTACAGTATAATTTTTTTGTGTGTACATTACTGTACTTTCTGTGTGTGTATAAGATTGTATACTAAAAATATTACGAAATTCATGTGCAATACATTACATAAAATATGTAGTAGTTACCTTACTGTAGCACAGTAGTATGTATTTCATAAAACAAACTATTTTGTACCTTTAACAATACAACGTGCTCCTTATTTTATGGGAAATAGTATGTCAGTGTTCATTTTTTGCATGCTACTATGCCTGGAAAGCACTTTGTTTGGTAATCCGAACGATTCGATAGTCCGAACCACCCCGGGTCCCAATTAGTTCGGATTATCGAGGTTCTACTGTAGTACCAACCCTACATAAACTAATTTGAGCGAACTAAATATAATATATATGAATGAAACTTATACAACACGTATTAGCTTGCATATATTTTTCGTGTTTAATGCAGGGCAATTAACTTTTTATTTGAATAAAAGTGTCAATTTCTTTATTAAAAGCTTATAAAATTATGGATGAAATCTGGTAACATTGCCATTGCCACAGCGTGGTGGTAAAAGTTGGGTCAACTGGCATTACTGTCAACTATGCGTTGCGCGTATTCCGTAAACATGAATGAACATCTAAGGTACGAAGGAAAAGTAATGACTGAAAAGCAATATAAAATGCGTATGAAACAGAATGTGGATTGATGAGAAAAAAGTAAAATGTGCAAACCGAAAATCCATATGATAACTCTCAAGAAGCTCACTGTATGATAGTGAGACGTCGCCTTGTCAAATTGAAGATTATGACAGAACATCTATACTGTTCGTTTTCAATTTTTGTTTCAAATTGCTATTATATTGCATTAGATCACGAAAAATTTATTTAATATTAATTATTAGTACATATGTTTTCGACTGGAATAATTTTATAGTCTATAATCGAGTTATTCTAATATAGCGCGTCTGTCGAAGTGTTAAATACAGCGTACAGTATTGCCATATTTCCTTTCATTGGATCAGATGTTTTTTCAAATTTGTCAAAACGTTATATAGGTATTCATTCCATTATCTCAATAATTACAAGTGAATATTTTATTGTTTTAAAATGTTTAGTAATATTTAATTCTTTAATTACAATTTTATTTTCCCGATCCTAACCATTTTTAAGAGCAATATTCACGTTTGATTAAAGTATTTTCCCAACTCGCATAAGAGCCTGTGTATAAGAGCATAATTTTTAACATCATTTTTCAAAAAAAATATATTGGCAATCGATCTGATATTTTTACAGGAGACAGTTGGCATATTTATTAACAGATTTCAATGATTTTGAAAACTTTCTTACCATTTTTTTTTTCAGTATCAAACCTCCTTAATGTACCTGGCTTTGTTAACTAGGCCAGATATCGCTTGTTATGTAAGTTATTTAAGCCAATTTAATAACTGTTACGATGAAAGTTATTGGAAACAAGGCAAATGTATTTTATGGTATTTGCAGGGACCTACATAAAAGTCAGGTCCTAAAATTTGTAAAGTATAATGAGGAACTAGAAGGTTTTGTAGATGCTGATTGGGCCGGCGATACAAATGATTGCAAGTCATACACTGGTTTTTGTTTTAAATTTTCTTGTTCTCCTGGGAAAGTAGGAAACAAAAGACTGTTCCTTATCCAGCGCAGAAGCTGAATATATGGCAATTTCTGAAGCTTCCAATGAAGCAATTTATTTGAGGAATTTGTTGAATGAGTTATTTGGTGTTGCAGATTGTATAACTCTTTACAACCAGTCAAAGTGTACCGAAGTTGTCGGTAAAATGTAGAGTAACATCCGGTAGTAGGATCTGACTGTTTTCTAGGTGTAGGAGAAAGTGTGTATTTTTGTAACCATGCACCATCCCTTTGCATGTTTAATAAATCAGTCTGCACTGAGAATTCAACAAGAGCATTTCTTCAATTAGTGTCCTTCATTGAAAAGCACAAAATAAACGCTATTTCACAAATTTTTACCTTAAAGAACATAGGTACTGAAATTTTCAAAATACATAATATGGTATGACCTCAGCACTCTCCCATTAGAATGTGTCTTGTTCTTTAATAAACACCCTGTATATATTTCCTGCACTTAACATATTCTTATAAACCTTTTTTTTCATGAAAAGAGAAATATTAATCAATTAAAGATAGAAATAGGTTAAATTTGTACAACAGAGATCCTATTTTAATTTGCCAAAGCAGCTTTTCTTTTGTTCCTGCTAAAAAAATTCTTCTTCTTTGTTTTATTAATCTCCACATCGGTAACTAAGTTAGGTGTTTCAGATTTTGTCTCCTCATTCTTCGTACTTTTCACTTTTATAATTTTTTTAATACGCTTATAAAGAGACGCGTTGTTCCTTGTTTTTTCTGAATAAGCTCCTAAACTGTTAGCACTATTGCTTTCGGTCATACATTCCTCGGGCATAATTTTTTGATTGTCAATAGAGTCCAAATCTCCCATGCTCTTAAATTTCACTTGGTTCAAAGACCTTAAACTATCAGGACTAGGATTTTCTTGTTCCGGGTTCAGGAGGCAACGATTAGAAGACGGATTGTACTGAGATGAGGACCTACAATTGAATTTTGATGCACTAGGAACAGAAATAATTAGAATTTCATATACAGAAAAATAATAATAAAAGTATTCATTTAAATACAAGTTGATTCTAAAGTTAGGAAATTGTCAAAGAAATTGAAAAATGTAGAATCATTGATTAAACTACATACTTATAAAAGTAAGAATGTTGTATAGTTTTATTATAAGTTATATTTGGAGAAAAGCCAAGTCTGATTAAAAGGTTTTTCAGTTGGATGAGAAATATATGAAATCTTGAAAATAGTATTTTTCACATTTTTGTGATTAAAATAAAAACTAGAAACTACTTTCTGGATGACATGTTAATAGCTATAGGCAGCTGAAAATAAGCAATATGATATATGTCAATTGACGAAAGGACTATAAATAATGACATACATAGCCTTCATAAATGATTACAAGTCATGTGACCAGTAATTTTGTTTGGCATCATAATTTTATTTCCTTCATGTTGGCGACACAACTTTCTGTTTCACCGACTGACTGTGATTGATGTAATTTTTTACGAGATACTATTCCACCAATTAGCGATCGCATTATCTCGAGCGTAGACATAACGGTCTGTCATTGTTATTTGTAAACGAATCATTAATATTGGTGAAGCCAAGATTTAAGGATTTTTTGTTACCAGTACCAATCGTGCAATGTTGGGTTACCTAAGCTCGGCGGTCAGATGGCTTGTAAACATTTATGAAGGCTCTATACTTGTGTTGAGTTTTGGTCAACATTTGCAGTTCTGTCATTTAACACCACGGTACTGTAATCTTATTTTCAGATATCTATAAAGTTACCTACCACAATAATGAAGATACAGTTAATCCACATGTAATGACACACTGAGTATTTATGACTTGCATCATATTTACGTCAAGAAGTAATTCAGTGCTGATGTCACATGCAGTGCTAATATGCTAAATAAAATCGTTATAATTCTAAAAGAATGTAAAATGCAACATAGAGTGGTTCTAAATCATATATTTAAGACAAACAGTATATAAAAATATATGCATAGGTACTTTTTCCCATAAACCTTTTTCTAAAAATTGATAATAAGGGAGACATACCCTTTAAAGAGAGGGGGTAAATGTTATATGTTTTCCAATATCTTGAAGATATCTTATTTATTGACAATTAACATTTTATAAATCTAGTTGTATAGGATTTTTTCGATACGTTGTGAAGGTTAAGTGTAAGAAAAACCATATTTAAAACTTCACTCATACAAATTATGTTTACATCATTATAAATTTTTGTTACCAAATATATACTCGTATATAGGGTTGTTCAAGGTAAGTAGACTAGTAGAAGATAATGCGACACTGAAATTTTGTGGAAGTGTTACGTTGATGGCATAACTTTCAGTGAAGCCCTGATAACTCCCATGGTTCCTTTGAAACGTTTAATAGGTCACTTACCGTGAAGAACCTTGTATATTTGAGAAATAAAGATTATTATTATTGTATCACCATTATCATTATCATTATATGTAAACTTTTTTCTGGTTAATAGCTTAGGAATCAATATTTTTTAGAACGAGGTAAAAATAAAACAAGTCAGATAAAATAGTGGTAATCACCACCCTAAAACAGCATAGTTTCACAGCATGTTGGATTATAATAATTACACTAAATTTGTATTAAAATACTTAATTAGTTTAAGTTTAAAACATTGCAAGAGATTTTTAAAATACTATAAACTGAAATATGTTATCTACCCTTTAAACGGTCTGATGTACCCATCCTAAACATACAGAGACAATTTAAATCACCACAAGAATAATATGTCAAATTTTTAAAGGATTTTGATGACTGTTTTTATGTATATACAAAGTATCTTAATGCATCTGAATAACAAATAAATCTCTGTATCCCAACTTTCATTAATATTTTTTTATGATGCTAAAAATTTTTGACAGTGTAAATTTCTATTTCTATAAAAAAAATTGGAATGCCTTAACCCTTTGATGCACAAAATTTTCCTTATGTTTTCAGGATCACTGATTAAGAATCTGAGATCAAAAATGCAATTTGACAGTTAATAGCTGCCAAAACGGTGTTATATTGAGGAAGTGACTCGAGATCTAATATAATGTTAATGGGAAAGGCGTTTTTGACATCGCCAATTCCAAATCTGATATCAGAAATGCCTCTTCACAGATAACAGCTGTCATATCACTGCTGTCAAAATTACAGAATGGATTAGTTTTTCCGAGAAAGTAATTTCCGAGGGGTTTTGGGAATTCTAAATTTGACGTTGAAAATCACTCCTGACAGTCGACAAATTTCATAAAAAAGATATGGACAACTATAAATTAATAAAACTGGAAGAATGGAGCCGTTTTAAAAGGCGCTGAATAAAATTCATTTCATAAAAAAATTCCTAGTAAGATTTCACATCAAAAAAACCACAATAGGCTGCATCGTCACTATGACACTTTGTTCTGTAGATGCATTAAGACATTAAGACATATATAAAAAAAAATAATCACCTTTCAATGCTCCAAATCATATTTAAACACTCTGTATATATAGAAAACTGGCTAATAATTTGATTAAAAAAAATGTTTTAAAATTACATTAATATTTTTTTTGCCTTGTGCACTTTTATAAGTGAATGAGGCTTCTCCCTCATAGTGGCAGAGATGCAGGAAATAGTTTTTTTTAATAAACAAAAGGAAATTTTTTAAAACATTGGTAATGAATTTTTCTGGAAAAACCTCAACTGCCAAAAAGTAGGTATATAGGTAGTAGGTACTCTTAGTTGTATAGATTTTCCTAGAAAACTGGTATTAAACATTTATTCTCTATTTGGTTATTCTACAAGTAAAAAAAAATTTAAAACTTAATTAAATAAACCGTTGTACTAAAAGGATTAGTCAAGGGATATTTTTGCCTAACAAAAAAACTAACATTGCACGCAAATAGAAAAGAAAATAAGGAGCATTTTTAATATAGTGTGTAAAAATTTTATTCATAATCGGAGCTAATCGTTAATCAAGTTAGAAGATTAAAAAACACGAGTAGATATATTCGAAACATGAACCACATTAACAAGCAGTGTTGTAGAGACGACACTGCTTGTTTATTTTATTGGTTATTTCTTCGTCTTTTTACAAAATTTAAATGTATTGCATGTGTGAAATTCCTATAATATATATTCTCTTGTCGAGAGGTTACCAGGTTGATGATTAGCTCCGTTGATGGCTTTATGGGCAAAAGGCTTTACTATAGTTTTAATAAAAATTTTAAGCAATTAGAATGAGGGATAGATATTATTATAACAACATTGTAACTCATTATCATGGCAGCACACCTCTATCACTCAGTATCTTTTTTACTAACCTTTTTTTAATCAGTAGGAAACTTCTTGAGTAAAACGACATATTTCCTGGTTCAATTTGCCTACATATTTTAGAATCACCTAGTATTTTTTAAAAATATGTCTATGAAACTCTCGTTTTATTATAATTTAAAATAAACCAAAAAAAAAGGATAAACAATTTTGTTATTTGGTTTATGTAAGCATTTGAAACTAGCTTTAAATTCATTAAAATTTTGTACAAATAATCAATTTTTAATCTCTTAGGCCGGCATCACACTAGAATGCCAAATAGGAGGCCATTGCAGCAAAACCAGCAATACAGCAAAACAAAATATGTTTGTTATACTTAAATTAAATGCATTATGTTTGGATTAATATAAAGATTAGATTATACAGTGCTAGAAAAGAAAAGAGAAAGCAATAATTTCTTACCTGATTAAATTAACATTTCCCACTACAGCAGATGTCGCTTCAGGTGTTCTAATTGAATTGTACAATTTATACCAAAAATTTTTCCATAATTTATTAGTTCTCTCATAGTCTAATATAACATAACATGAGAGTTCTGCTGGTAATTTGCCACAATTCTTATAGAGACACGGTACTATTTTTCTTTGCCTTTGTTCTAGAGATTGCAAGAAAGCATTAAATTAGCAAGGGTTAAGTTAGAAAATATTTCTAAGAGGGGTGTATTTGTGTAATTTTCTTATTGCTCTTGTTACTTCTGACATTTTTACAACGGCATATGCTATAGTAGTACTAAAAAAGAAAAATATGCCCCTATTATTAAAAGAGAAAAGCAATAGTGTTTCAGCCACAACCAACATTTTTCTAATATTTAATAGATCACAAATTTGAAGGATTATTTTTCAGTCAGAAAACAGCTTATAGTCCAGAAATATACTTTTTCCGAGATATGATTCTACCATTTTCTTTAACGTAAGAGCTTCACAAAATTTGACAAATACCTACAATTAGTACTTAACAAACCGTGCCAGTACAATTTCTATATTTTTATGAACTTATAACAATAAAAGAGGAACAATGATTTCTTGGGGCATAACTTCAGTACCTTTAATGTTTAAAAAAATATCTCTGTGTATTTTATTAGAACATAAAGAATTTTAATGTTCATGTTAAAATTTATAGACTTCCTTACATATATCTTATATCTATATATCTACTAGGATTGTCATTATGCTATATCACATCGAACACTTCTGTAACTATGTTCATGTCAAAGCTGTGTCATTAGACTTTACTTTCTATTATGTGTCATTAAGCTGAGCAACATATTTTTTCTCAGCTTCGAATATGTCGAATTATAAGCCAATAAAACACTATTTGCAGAAATTTTACTATTCCTGTTTAATTAAAAAAAAAAATGCTGCTAAATGTCATCGAGTGCTGTTGGAAACTTACGGTGGACATACTCCATGGATAAAAATGTGTAATTATTGATTTCTATGTTTTAGAAGTGGTGATTTCAATACAGTTGACAAAAAATGCCCTGGTCAACCAAAAAAATTCAAAGAAGGGGAAATGGAAGCATTACTAGACCAAGATTCATGTCAAATGCAAGATGCACTAATCGTTGAATGTTAATCGCACGACAGTTTCCAAATGTTTAAAAGCAAGGAAATTGGGTGCCATATGAATTGAAGCCAAGAGACATTTTTCACAAGTGAACAATTGCTGCAATAGCAAAAAAAAGGTTTTTTTGCATTGTATGGTCACTGGTGACGAAAAATGGATACAATATAATCCTAAGCATAGAAAATCGTGGGGTTTGCCTTGTCATGCAACAACACCGACGGAAAGGCTAAATATTCATCCGTGATTCGAAGCTTATGGTCCATTTTTGATGGGACCAGCTTTTACAATAAAGCCTTGAATTTACGAAAAAATCCCTCAAAATTAATTCACAGTCCTAGTAAAAACAATGTAAACAGTAGAAATTTCGGAATAAAGTTTTCCTGGGTTTTCCTTGATTTTTCTACAATTAAACAGTGGAAATCCAAAATAGTTTAAGTGCCAACAAAACAGTTTCGAAATAATTAAGAAAAACACATTCAAACATAAAGAAAGCTATTTTTTAAAGAAATTATTTATTAATCGTATTATATCAAACCCAAGAAACATACTGAAAATACAACACATTTCAAAAAAGCTATATGGTAGTTATATAGAAACAATTGAAACTAGTAAAGGAAAAAAAGTCTAAGTGCTACTCTAATATACATGCAAAAAAAGTCTAAGGGTATATGCTGTCGAAAAAGTCTATATCAAAAAGTAAGATTTTATCTAACTCTAAGATAAGAACAAAAAGATATCTAAGATTTTATCGGTAGATAGCCGCACGGTTTAAGGCGTCAGTACTTAAATCGATGTGTCGAACTGCCCGGGTTTCGAATCCCCGGCCGGTGACCGTAGATTATCTATACTTGTACGGAGGATTGGCGCCCTCTGTGCAGGTATGGTAGGGTGGAAGAATGTTGGCTTGAGTCAATGTGAGAGATTGACACCGGTTGGCATTTGACCACCCCCCTAATTAATGAGGTTTTCCAGGTTTCCCTCATTCCTGCACTGAATGGTGGTTAGGGCCTACCAACATGTCGTTCCTGGGCGCAAATGCGGCCCGCGTAATAATAATATGCCGCCTCCTCTCCCGCACGTCTCCGACTTCTGGGCTAATTCTCCTAATTAGAATGAGGAGTAGAGATATTATTATTATTATTATATTATAGTGTTAGAAATATGATGTTCGTAAACATAGTAGGTCTACGTCGAAAAAGCCGCCGCCAGTCAGTTTGTTGCATCAATTTTGGGAGAGCGAGGTCTGCCTGGATTACTTGGCCGCTAACTAATGGTTGTTTTGCTTGTGATTGCCAGTGGAAGTCTACCAAGTTGTTCTGTGGTAGCTTGTTGAAGATACATTTGTAGGCAAATATATGTTCTGTATTGGCTGTTATGTTATAAAAATCTAAATTGAAGTGATTAGTGTCATTGCTTGACATGTGAATTGAATTAATCCGGTATCAAAATATAAACTAACTATAGAATATTGCCAAAAAACTTAGTTTTCATGAGTCTCATCATTGAAGTTTGGCCTTTTCAATTAAATTATTTCCAAAAATTAAGGTGTTTTAGAAGAATGTATTCTAACATATCTTCCAAATTTTTAAATTTTTCTGCAGATATTTGACTTGCATTTTAATAGAGGCAGATCATAACCCAACAGCAACTCCATATTCGCATCTTTTTTTAAAACATTGTAATGAATCCATTCTTCCATTTCATTGAACTAAAGTACCTTTGTAATATGTATGTTGAAGACGACTAACTTTTAAACGTTTTTGTTCAATTTTCACATTTTTAGAACCTTTTTTTCTTCTTTTATTAGCATTAAGTATATCATGCCCATTAATTTGTTCCTTCATTTTCCAAACAATACAAACAGAATGGCACATAGGTGGTTTTTGCTTGTACCATTCAGCATTAGTAGGATGGCGCGCCATCTAATACCTCTACTAAACTTATTATAACGGGTTATCCATTTTGAGCTTGGGATAGTAAAGCCCTGTCAATTGATATTTGTCAAATGTCTCTCTCTTATCCAGACTGGTATTTGTTTAGTTAAAGGTTTGCCATTTCACAAAATGAAACGTTTTACGACCGGACGTGTTAAAATTATTAAATTATACTACGAAAATGGTGGATCTTCGGTGGCTGCATTTCGCGCATTACGCAGAGATTATGACATAATCGTCCATCCCAGCAAACAACCACCAATACAGTGAGGAAATTCCAAGAGACTGGATCGTTAACAGACATCGTAAGACTCAGTATTTGGGCCTACCATACGACACATTGTGGCGCATTTTGAATTTGGACTTGCATCTCCATCCGTATAAAGTTCAACTCCCAGAAGAACTCAAGCCAGCTGACCATAGATTGCGCCGTGAGTACACCAATTGGGTGCTAGAACAACAGACCACCGATCCTGATTTTTCGAGGAAAATCTTCTTTAGTGATGAGGCCCATTTCACGCTCAGCTGCTATGTTAATATGCAAAATTTCCAAATCTCGGGTAGTGAGCGGCCAGTTATGGCTCTATTGCGCGAGAAATTCCCAGCACACGTAATTTCGAGATTCGGCAATATGGCTTGGCCACCTAAATCCTACGATTTAACGCCTTTGGAATTCTTTTTGTGAGGCTATGCGAAATACCGTGGTTATGCGAACAATCCCACAACTTTCGAGTAATTGAAGGACGAGATACGTCAAATTATGGCCGAATTATTGCCCGAATTGTGTGAAAAAGTTTTCAAAAATTATTTCAAAATGATTGAGTCCTGTACACGGTTCTGTGGAGGGCATTTGAATGATATTGTTTTTCACGCATATTGGCATGGTGCAAACTTTATTATGAAATAAAAGTTCCATTGAAATTTAAATATTCAATGTGTTTGTTTTAAACTTTGCTTTCCCAAGGAGAAAATGGATAACCCGTTATTAGAAAGACACTGACTCATTTGTATAATATTGGCAAAAACATATAGACTATAAAATAAGTAAAATCCGAAAATTTATATATTTGAAACTTAGACGCTTTTGAATTTCCACTCTTCACTTTTAAATAATATTTCCTCGTTAATTTCTCATATATACAACAGTATATCCTAAAATTTTCCAAATTTCTGGCTTTTGCCTTACTTTCCCTTTTTGCATAGTTTTCCATTGATAGATATAACTTGTCGAAAGGGATGGTCCTTTGATACTTTCAAAATAAAATTTAATCTAACCGTAAAATAATATTTCCCATTAATTCCTTATAAAAATAACACATTTTAAAATTTTTCAAAATTTCTGTTTTTTTCCTTACTTAATTCCCTGACTTTCCCTGTTTGCATAGTTTTCCAGTTGATAGATATAACTTGTCGAAAGAAATGGTCCTGCGATACTTAAAAACTAAAATTTATTTTATAAAATTTTTGGTATCATGTTTAAAAATCAAAACTCAAAAAATAAGTAATAGGAACCACACAAAGAAAATGAATAAGATATTCTATCTGTAAAAAATTGATGTTACCTTCTATATGTTACGTTATGTTTCAACCACTGTACCTTTAAGGAATTTATTTTAGGAAATATTATGTTATTATGAGTCTTTTGCGGGAGATTTATCGTGTTTCTCGAGGAAACAGCAGAAAAGTAGTTAAGAAGCAATATCTCGATGGAAATTTAACGCTGAAAATTATATAGCGTTTTTCATCTTTGGTATTTTTTTGTGATATAATTGTGATGTTTTATTTACAAAAAATGTTTTTCTTTGTAAATAAAATGCATAAAATCCAATGGCTTACATGATACTTTTTCTCATACTCACCATTGTTATATAAATAATTAAATTAGATATTTTTAATACATTTTTCACTCCATTAAATATCATACTAGAGAAATGGGATATAAATTTGTTATTTGAAAGAATAAAATTGTTAAACTTTAATATAAAGTAAGAAAACGACAGGCCACTATTTCTTCATAACACATTATTACTCGTATTATTTAAATATACTGATATACTACTAAGGCCCTTAGGCGAATCATTCATAATGCAAAAATCAGGGACCAATTTTGGACATTGCTTTAAAATATACATATAAATAAACGATAAATCATTTATTACCGTTTAATTGTCAATTTTGTAATATTCAAAACGACATTAAATATTTCACTGATAAAGAGAAAAATAGCAGTAACTTTTTTAAATGGTCCAGATATAAATTTTGATATATAAAAACAAAGTTCGAGCATGATCTTAATCATTCCAATGAACCACCTCTCATTTTCCTACTTCTGGCGTTATAAATTTAGTTTTATTCACTTGTATTAGATTCATACCTATGCCAATAGCTTGTGCAAAACTGTAGAAGAACTGATTTGCTGAACTATCCAGAAAGGCTGGTGACAATATGACAATTAATCTACAGCACCTTTCCGAAATTAATTTAATCACAGAATCATGTTCGAACCCTCCTCCAACTAGGTCTCTTCCTTTAACGCATAATTTTAAATTATATTGTTTCTCCATAGTTTCTATAAGTTCCGTGGCAAAATCTATATCGTCATCAGCAAAAAGAACAAAAGCATCATAAGTCTGTGGTTCAAGTCCCTCACTTCTTCTATTCACGTCATCTATGGTCAATATATATTTGTCACTATCTAAATCTGGGTATTTACTGCTAAATTCGCTTGTATTCTGTTTGAAGTAATTAATATCTTCCTCTAAAAAAATGGAATAATTATGAATAAGTATACCTAACGACATAAGAAATTTGGATTGAGTGTCAGATACTTTAATAACGGCAATAACTATCATTTATTTTAGTTTTATAATCAATTAGTTACATAAACTTATTTGCACATAAGTACACTAGCATATGGTATTCTGTCATATTAAATATTTTTTCTTCATACCTCGGTCGAAAGTACGTACTTTCGTCCCTAATAGCAGGGACGAAAGTTTAACATTTACTCCCTGTGAGAAGTCCCTGCTATTAGGGACGATAATACGTACTTTCTACTGAGGTATGAAGAAAAATCGTACACACTACACGGGCCAAAAGTTGAAATCTCGGTCCTGCGCAGGGCCGAAAATTCAACTTTCGGCCCTTGTGGTGTAATATACTATTATCTTCTTCACTTTACTTAAATTTCTACCAATTCAAATACAGTTTGCCACAGAAGGTGAAGTTAAAAGCAGAATAATAGTTACTTCTCTGTTACTGATTATGAATTATACTTTACTGATACAAATACTGTTTTTTCCTGCTCATATAAGGGATATAAACAAATATAAGAGAACACAGAAGAATATTTCTTCTTTATTTTTTATCAGAAAAACACAAAACACCTTAAAATATTGTTGGAATATTGCTACATCCTTTATATTTACTTCAATTAAATATTAAACTAAAAACCATACTTTTAAGAATAAATTTAAAAGAAAATGCAATTAAAATAAATTAATTATAAATGTTTTTTATTAGTCATGTTTGCCTCCGACCAAACTTCTGACAAATTGGAAATGAACGTAGTTATCATAGATAAGATAAAGCACCTCATCATACAAATACCGTGACATGTATTTATCATTTTACAATAACGAGAAATCTAAGGTTACATCAATTTTCTTGAAAATAAAGAATAGTCCTGTAGCTTGAAAACAATAAAAGATACCATAAAAATAATTGATATTAATGTACGCATATCCCTACTAATATTATAAATGTGAATGTAAGTTTGTTTGTTACGCTTTCACGCGAAAACTACTTAACCGATCATCATGAAACTTTGTACACATATTCTTGGCGGTGTTAGAAGTAACATAGGATACTTTTTATTAAAAAAAATATTTTTTACGAAAGATTTTCTATCACTGCGAGCAAAGCCGCGGGTAAAAGCTAGTAAATAATAAAATTACCTATTAATGGCGAGATATCTTCAATAACATCAAATCTGTCTAACTCTTCTAAGTATATAATAAATTTATCTATTGTGCTTTCATTTTTGTCTTCCTCACTCCACAAGTGTAGAACCTTATTACTGGGGTCAGGGTCTTGCTGTAGGCTAGGTATTTTTTCACCGCTTATCCCACACAACTCTGCTAGTCCTTGCCAATCACTACAAAATATTCAATCTTTTGTAAAGTGAAAATGAAATATTAATGTACTTACTATCTACACATAAATTATATCAATACATACCGTGGGAGTCCTTTATCATTTGGAATAATTTTAATAGGATTTAATAATGTGGAAATTACATTTCGAGAGCCTCTTCGTAAAGCTCTTATAGTTATATGTTTATTATCATGTGAACCATTCAAATCACTTATATGTTGCTCCATACCCTTTAACACACATAAAGTTAAAATATTACATTTTATAAGGTAATTTTTACATCACCGAAAACATAATATTTGCTCAATTTACTTTTACAAATCTATAATTTTTAATAAAGAAGTTATTTTAACTTCTTAACTTTTTGACATTACACAATCATAATTATAACCTATTGACAAATAATTAACCACTTGACAATTGACATCATTCTATACATGGAGACATCATTCTATACATGGAGACAAGATAAGGAGCACGAACTCATACGGAAAATTGACAAAATTTGTCCAAGAAATGGCAGATGTTGGGGTGGCGCTAGTGTTCCATATGTCCCAAATGAATGTAGCTTCATAAATACGAGTGAAGTAAGCAAATAACCAATTTTATTTTATTTATATCGAGTTTAGTAGATATATTGGGGAGCGGGGAGGTATACTAAACCTAATGGCCCATTTACACGAGGCCAGTTGTGAAGACATTCCATTAAGCCAATCCAATGACAAAGTGCAGTTCAGAGCGAACAGCCGAGCTGAACAGACGTGTTTGTTTGTGTGGTGAAGTGATTGCAACGAGCAAAATCTACCTGCCTTTATTAAGGCTACCTGGAAAGAATCCCTTTCTTTCCTTTTAATCACCGACCTAATCCCCGGCTTAAGCATAGAGGCCGTCGGCATCTTTGTTGCAGGCACCTGTCCCAGGGTTATGCCCAGGTAAGTTTTTACTTATTTATCAGTTATTTGCATTACTTTAGAATACATTTCTTTAAAATTGCGACCCCCGACAAACAATATACCAGACAGACAAATACACCAAAAGACACGTACGCCCCCGT